GTTAAGAGGGTTTCCTGCTAAGAAACTAGGTTGGCCTAATAGTCAGCGCGAGAGTTCGAATCTCTCTCACTCCGCCAATTAAATTTAAACAGAGTGTCAATATATAAAATATAATTGATGACAAGTTAAATCTAAGAAAGTTGAGATAAAACTTTTGTCAAATAGTAAGTAGTTACCAATTGTTAACTTATTATTATGGCGAGCAACACAAGCAATTAGAACAGTTATCTAATCTGAAAATAGTAGGTGCTAATTTATTTGAATGCTTAACAATAACAAAAAATTAATAGCAAAAAGTATGAACAATAGAAACAATACAAAACTAACAACAAGAAGAAATAAGTATAATAATTATAAAGAACTAAAAAATTTGCAACGAACACTGGACAACTTTTTTTACGATTTCTGGTGACCAAACTCTTCCACATTAAGCGAAGCCTGGGAAGAGTTTCAACCGCAAAGTAAACTCACAGAAGAAAAAGATAAATATTTGCTAGAAGTTAATTTACCGGGAGTGAAAAAAGAAAATGTCAAAATTTAAGTAGAAGAAAATATTGTTAAAATTAGTGGTGAAAGAAAAGAAGAAAAAAAACAGGATGAGGCTAAACAGCATTATTCAGAAATTTTCTACGGAAAATTTTATCGGGAATTTGCATTACCAACTCAAGTCAAGAAAGAGAAAGTTAAGGCTCATTATGAGAATGAAGTATTGACTATGACTGTAACCAAGGACTCCCAAGGCCATGCCCACCAAGTTAATATTGAATAAAGAAAATTATTTTGAGTGTTACTTGCCAACCAATTAATTGAAATTCTTTAGTCTATCATTGTTTCCCTCCCTTCTACTTGATTAGTTTGCCGAAAAAAAGATAATTACTGGTTAACTAGACAAGAGATAAAATGCTAAAATTATAATAATATGGCAGTTCCATTTCGCAGGAAATCATCCACGAGAATCAAAAAAGGTCGCGGACCAAAAAGTTGAAGTTTTCACCAAAAGGCGCTTCATCAGCCCTTAATCAAATGTGCTAGTTGTCAAAAAACTAAAATACTTCACCATACTTGTCCCCATTGTTCGGTCTATCGGACTAATTCCCAAACTCAATAAAATTTATAATGAATGATAACCTACAATGACAATGATAAAACAAAAAAACAATTAAAATTATAAAATAACTATAAAAACTATATATATATATATATATGACAGAAAAGAAAATAATATTTACAACTAAAAGTATAAATAAGGAAAATAACGGAGTAGATACCAATGTGCGAATTCTACCACTAAATTTCGCTGCTGATGGAAGCAATATTGAAATTGTGCGGATTTATTTTATCATGCACGATGAAAATCAGAGACAAAAATTAGATATTCTAGAAGAACAAAAAACTTATGAACTAAGTTTTAGTGATGGGGAAGTAAAAGTAAATAAAAAAGATCCGAATTTATCATCAAAGAAAAGTGGAGGTCATTTTGCTTCTGCCAGTTCTGCTGCTGGTGCTAGCGGTCCCGAACCTGAGAAAAAAGGCCCATTTGTTCTAGTGAATGAAGAAAAAAAAGAAATAAGAGTACTTTGCTAGCCTGAATTCCAACTGCAAATCACCAAACAAGAAGCTGCTAACACAAATTCCCAGGATAGTGAAAATACTGCCGAAGAAGAAGCAAAATCGCAATCCACTAACAACACATCCAATTTTTAAGTAATTTGGGTAATAATTAGCAACATTTGCCAATTGATAGAGCATTAATTTTAAACATAATTGACAATCAGGATTATTGTTTCGTGGATAAATACTTATTTCGGTTGGCAAGTAGGTTATTTGACAGTCTTTTTTATAGTAAGTTTGGAGAAAATTAACAGTACCATTAGTAATGGCCGAAATAGCCGCACAGACAATGTCCTGACCTTTTTCAGCATAATTAGCATGGTCTTTGATGATAATGTATTGGAAATTATTTTTCGTGTCTTGCTTGTAGAGGACTTTGGTTGGCATATGATAAAAATTTCAGGAGCGGGGGAATTACTTCCACTCCATTATCTAAACTTTTTACCTATTACTTAGCCTTCTTTTGCGAGAGTAGACAATTACTCCAACTAGGGTAGCAACTACTACCAGAGCAACTGGAACAACTATTTTTCATGGAAATTCACCTTTGTTACCATCAGAAGTATTATTTTGAAGAGTAACCTCTACTTTCTTCATCAATGCTTCGGCAGAGGATTTTTTGGCTTGGTAATTAGAATTATTAATAAACTGTGATAATTCACTCTTCAATGCTTCCAATTTTTTCTTATCTTTATCTACTTTGAGGGCCTGATTAACCCGTCTTTCTAAATCAGAATATTTTTTAGTAGCGGCTTTTTCATAAACTTCTTTAACTATTTCTTGTTCCGCTTCATCAACGGCAGATTTTTCGGTAATTTCGCCATTTTCTAACTTTTGAAATTTGGTTTTGGCTTCTGCTCCTAATTCGTCTTTGTTAACACCATTGTTAGTCAATTTTTTTTGGGTTGCTTCGAAAATTGTTTTCCGGTAATCTTCTTTATTTTTCGCTAACTCTTCCCGAGCTGATTTATTAGCTGCCTCATTTTCGGATGATTTAACTCCTTTATCTTTTAATTCTTCATCTTTTTTTATGGCTTCAGATAACTCATCCTTATTACCTCCTTGTTTAGCCTGTTCCAGTTTTTCTTTGGAATTATTAATTTCCTCCTGGGTTGGTTGGTCAGGAGCGGGTTGCGGCGGAGTAGTTTCATTAGTATTTTGGTTTGAACTGGAATTATCGTCAGCAGTATTGCCACCTGACTTTTTCTTGGAATTCCTGCCA